AAGAAGGGCAAGTTTCAGACACATTCCTTGTGTTTGACTGCAGTAAAGATAATGGGATTTTTATTATTCACAAGTTATAACTATACTTAGCCAGGAAAACGTTGCAAAGGCCTGGGAAAGAAACCTGCCAAATGGGCAAGTTCATATACCCACTACTTAGGCAGGAGACTGTGGTGGCTCTTTTCACTGGATGAGAGTGGGATGTACTGAAAAAGTCAGCCCATGCTGCAAATTGTGAGAACTGACTCACATTTATGTAACAAGAATTGTCTACAATTTATACAGGATATTGACTCACACCACAGGACAAAGGAAAAAGCTTTCATAACATATCATGCTGTGGACTCACATTTTGCAGAACAAAGCAGTAATTAACCAGCTAGTGAGAGAAATTCAACCCCATGTTATCTAATAGGAGATAATGCATTTTCAAAACTGAGTGTCCCAGATCTGGGGTTTGGCACTTCCCTTAAAAACTGATAGTCGGGGAAAAGATGTTTTCAGTAGTGGTGAAAAAATGAACACTTGTAGCTCTTTGCAAAGGAGACAGTGAGTCACAGACCTGATTCTGACAGAACTAATGGATAAAAGTCCTATGATCCCTGCCTAAGCTCAAATGTAGCTCTCTAAGGTAAGGAAAGCCCTGGCTTACACAACAGTCAAGAAAATTCTTGACAAGGAGCAAAATTTTACATTCTGGACTACCCATTTTCATACAAGTAAAATATTTATGTTTCCACTAACAATACGCTTATTCTAGATTATAATGAGAAAAAACCTTTTTGTGCCATGCATCTGTGTGAACTTCAGATAAAAAAACACTGGGAAACATCTTACGTTTGGTTTCAGTTGTAATTTTAGTCAGTCTGAGTGTGGCATTCATATTCCTCACAGATGTATTTTGCATATATTCTCTTTACTGACTTTCCTTTTATTACACTTCTATCAGTATTTTAATACACTCTGTGTGTGTGTGTGTGTGTGTGTGTGTGTGTGTTTGGTTTTTAAGCTGTGGGCAAAGCTCTTTCTTTTTTCCAACCAAGAACCCCATTGCCAGGCAGGGTAAGAAGGACTGTGCAGTTATTCCAGGTGCTCACAAGTTTCAGGCCCTCAGGTTTCTTCCTTTACTGGTAATGATTCCAGCTATATAACAAAGACTAGGAATGACCTAAGGATAAACTGTAAGATATGGCCAGTCATTATTTTTAGTTTGGTCCTACCACGAAACAAGAAATTATAATGGCTACAGGTAGGAGACTCTATATATTTGTTTCATCAACTACAATAGCTATGGTACTGTAGAAGAAATCACTATTAGCTTTATCTTCATCAAGGTGTTAAACTACCACATGTTGGTCAATATTCTCAACTGAAAATGACTGTAATAAGAACTTATGGGCCAATGAGTTGACTCAGCGTTCAAAAAAAATTCATTCAAGATGAGCTGTTTAAATAATAACTGTTCCATCATTAGAAAGATAATTACAGTACTGCAAAACAACCAATCTTAAATTCTTTCTTCTATTATAAATAGCATTTTAATAAATTTCAGCAGGTGGGGAATAGCAGAAGCAAACATTTTCTTTTATAACAGTCCTAAATCTTAGATTCAAGAGAGAATCATATTTCAGTTAACTAAGTTTTCCATAACAGTTTTGTGAAAGGAGAATTAAGATTGCACAGTGGCAACAAGTGCCAGATCAAATGGGCAGATCTCAAAAAATCTCCAAAACCCAATGTAGCTAATTTAATTCTCTGCAAAACAGAAATATAAGTGTAGTGAATAATTGCACTCTAATACTCTTTTCTTTCACACACTGAAATATAAACTAACATAGCTATGCACTGTTGCAGGCCTGCTGGAAAGCTCTTAGATTCAGCACATATGGAAATAGAAATTTTACTCAAGTTAGTCCAATCAAGCTAAATGCCATTTCACCTCAGTTTTTAATGCATAAATTGCAACGAGGCAGTCAAAAGGAATGATCAAAGCACTAAATGCCCTAATATTGACTGCACAGATAACCAACTGAGTAGATTTTTACACCCTAAGACAAGAATCTAACAAACCAAAACCATTATACTGATTTAATCATTGCCACTCAGTGCCATTTTAGCAAATGGCATCAGTCTTTTGTACTAATTGGACTAACAATTTGTCTCACGCTGAGTGATGATGAACTCAGAATTCTGTAAAAACAGCACCCAGTTCCAGATAGCAATATTAGTTTACTCTCAGGGTGTAGTTCTCTTTGAACAGTGAGCTGTTGTTAAAGTAAATAAAAATTCCATTCCATTGGACTGAACATAAATGTGTGAAAAAAAGAGTCAAATGTTCGCACAAAACCCCTCTAATGTAAGACATCAGAACAGAAACAGCTGCCTATTTCCTCTTAATATGGAGCTAATATAAATCACTGTATTAACTGATTGTAATTTGATGAAGTCTATCCTATTCACAGATGAAGGCGTATTAACTTATGTGTCTTAACACATAAAACCTTTGCAGTCACTTTCATACTAACAGCTGTAGGACCATAAGCTTTTTCTTTACACCATAGCCACAAAGGTCTTATCCCAAGAGACACTGTGTGATTTCATGGAAGCCTTAAATTTACTGAACCTGCCATCAGCAAAGGCTCTGTAAATTAAAGTTTGAACACAATATTGTTTAATGAAATGTCAGCTTCCACAGCAATTTTCTGTCAAATGAGTGCTGCTCACTAAGACTTCACCAAGAACACTCCAGAGTCAAACAAGAACATGAAAATGTACTGCAGGGCTACGGCCAAAGTCCTGCAAATGCTCAAGGTTTTCCCAGTCTAGAAAATGCACTCCCAAATGTGTTTTTATGTCCCCCAGCATCTACACTGGGTAGGGACTAAAGTTAAAGACTGATGCCGTTTGACATAAATCTTCCCAAATAAGACTAGTTTCCCATTTCTACACATTAACAGAGTGAGAGGGGAATCATCAGTGTATATAAAAAGACATCTATAAACATTAACAGCCGGAAGTTCAACATATTTCTGATATGATCCCTACGCCCTTGCATTTGGCAAACAGGCACTCCACTCACAAATTAAATTGGAGCAGCTTAACAGCTTGGCAAAAGCCTGATATTTTCTGCCCTTGAATCACTCTGGACAGAAAGCAAAAAATCAGACTGCTGGTACGTAGTAAACCCATATAAGTAGAA